TTATTTCCCTTCAAAGAAGGCAGTGAGGCAGATCAGGAGCACAGGAATGGATGTGCATAACAGGGCACTGTTGAAAGGTTGAAGAACAAAAAAAAAGAAAAGAAAAAGAAAAAAGAAAAAAGGAAAAGAAGCTCTGTTCTGTCAGGCCATGGGGTTAATCCAGGTGCTATGGTACTGGCTTGGAGAGAAACCTGTGCCAGACCTGTCTGCAGTCACAGCTGCACCACCGGGTCTGTTGCCTTCCACTGTCCCTAGGAATTTGTATCTCTTGGTTACTCATGGATTTGAAATTGAAAATGTACCAGTTATGTAAGAAATGGGACAGAATGAGCTCTGTAGTTGTGTGGCCAGTGAAAGAGGCACCAAGAAAACATCTCAAAGGCATCCACCAGCCTTCCCAGGCAGAGGTTTATTCCATGTCAACCCATCCCATTCCAAAAGCTGAATAAAAAATCAGAGTAGCCAAAAGTCTGGATGACAGTAATGACCATAACCCCCTGGTAGCCCTGGGACTGGCCCTCCTAGCCCTGGCACAGCCCAGCTGAGTGTGCTGTGCAAAACATTGCTGCTCTGTGCTCTGCCAAATCGCTTTTTCAAATGACCTTTTGTTGCAAACCATGTCTGCTACGTAAAAAGGAAATTAAAAATAAATAAAAGTTTGCAGTGGTTAGTTGATCAAAGCTTTTGCTTGCCCCTGTGGTCTCAGCAGAAAGCAATGTTACAGCCTCAGACTGGATGGGTTTGTTTGGCGTCTGATGGGAACTGATAACTTCACAGTCCAAGAAGCCAAGGAGGAAAAGGTAGATGGCTTATCTGGGTTCTGATTTTGGGGATTTTCCCCACAGTGGTTCTTTCTTGTAATTGGGAGATTTGACTGTTGTATGTCCCATATGAGAACTTCTCAGTGGGTGTTGAGCAATACTGACTTGGATAAGAAGCAAGATTAGAAATTGCATTAAATGGTGTCATAGCTCTGTCTCAGGCCATGGTTTCAACATGTTCATCTTCAAAGTAGATTTAGGAATTGAAATTCCAACTGGAGCAGGTGTTGATGAACCTTGGGGCGTCAGGGAGGTCGGACAACAGAGCTGTACCCAAAGTACAGGCTGCCACATGGGCCAGAGGTATCTGAGCTGTCCTTAAACTCAGTGGCTTGAGGGCTGAAAGAAAGAAACCCCTTGGTTCAGAAATGTGCCCTGTGCCTCTTCCAGTAGGAATAACAGGAGGGGAGAAAACAACCCAATCCTTTTCTGTGATGGTTTTGATTGGGCTTGTATGAGATGGTGGTGGAAATTGCAAAGAACTGCTCCTAATGACTTGTGATATCTCTTGCATTTTCTCTTCCTGGGAATTTGAGGAAGCAGTCTGTGCTTTTATTCTAGACTGGAAAGCCTTGGAGCAAGGACTGTTCACTTTAAAAAGGCATAAATTATTTGAGCCAGTTCCACAGAATTATGATAATGCTGGAGTTTCTGTTCTAGGGCATACCTGGTGGGCAGGAGTGGGGGCTCTGCAGGAAGAGAAACATGAATATCTGACTCTGCTGCTGGTGTCCTGGGAGTTTTCACTTGTATTTTTGCTTTTTATTGGTAAAAGCTTGCCAAAAGTGTTCCCTGTAAGATCACTATGGCAAACTCGTCAGAGAATTCAGTCATTCCTCATTGTCACCTTCTTGTGCCACTGCAAAACTTTTTACCTTGGACAGCTGCAAAAACTAGCAAGAATTGTATGGGGGAAGAGAATATCTGGGTGAATGTGGCAGGGAAAATAATATTTCTTGCTCTCAGACAGCCTTGTGACCCTCTGAGCATGTCAGGAAATGGAGCCCTCTGCCATTCTGGCTTTAGTGTCTGAGTGCATTCACCCACAAGTGAGATGATGTATTTTTGTCTTCTAATATGGGGAGAGGAAACAGAGGGAAAGAATAAATATGGAATACTGTGCAGGTGGAGGTATGAACCTGTGTGTGTGTGGAAGAGACTATCCTGATGAAAGGAGAGATTTGCTGGCTGACAACAGGGAATGCTTTCTGCAGGGCAAGGAATTTAGGGAGCAGCACCTGATCCCTGATGAGGTCAGAGAGTCAAAGCCCAACTAATCTAATGCAAAAGAAGTGGGAGTACCCAGTCAGAGAGGCTGTCAGCTCTGCCCCACAGACTGGTATGAAATACATACAATTCTTGCTAGTTTTTGCAGCTGTAAAAGGTAAAAATTTTTGCAATGGCACAAAGAGGTGGCAGTGAGGGACTACTGAATTCTTCTGATGAGTTGGCCATATCAGCCCAAGGGGGACTGGTACCAAACTCCTGTTTGCAGGAGTCCAGGTGAGTCAAACTGGGGATGCTTCCAAGCTGCAGCTTGCCTTGAAGCAACCAAAACTCCTCTCTCAGAGCTGCACTGCTAGAGAGAATCCTGGGAGAACAGCCTGTTCCACCCCTGATGCCCAGCGGAGGCATAATGAAATGCCAGGGCTGAAGCCTCGAGTTACAAAGCTGCAATCAAGGAACACAACACAGGTTTTTAAAGGTGGGGTGGGCAGCCAATACCACGGGCTCTCAAGAGAAAGGCTGTAAATTTTCCAGCACTTCAGATAAGTTAATTAGGACTGGAAGATTTTATGAAAGATTTCTACTTCTATGAGCAGTTGTCAAACTTGAAGAGATTTTATTTGCACTGTAAGGCAGCCTCTATGCTAATATCATTCAGAGCAAGTGTAACTGTGCAAAATTGCCATGGCTTGTGTTTCAGGGATCAAACTAGAACCTGGCAGTGGCCTCCCTTGGCCTTGAAGGATACAGGAGGGGTGTGGGGGAGGCAAAATGCAAAGGGCTGCTTGCTTAGTCAAGGACCATCCTCTTAGCACTGACAGATTTTCACCACCGTGGTGGGGCATATTCAGGGAATGTGATAATGAATTCACCATAGCTGTGTGAATAAATAAAGCCAGTCAGCAAAACCCCGTGGAACGCTCCCAACACATTCTGGTTCCTGTAACAGGATATTAATGACTGTGTTAATTAGGCACTGTGGAAGCAGCTTACAGTGTCAAAGACACAGAAAATTATAATGGCAGGATATTGAAATACTCCTTCCCACAATGCTTTTTGCACATGCCCCATCATTTTAATGACATTTACCTTGTGTTTTACTGTTTGCTAAGGAGACTGAATTTGATGACTCTCAGAGGAGCCTCAGAGGACCATGATGACCCAGGTGACTTAAATTTTTTCAAGCTGTGTTAGAAGAAAGAAACTTCTCAACAGAAACTCTCCTCTCTGTGGCTACGCATGGTTGGTCAACCAACCCCAAACATGGGTCATTAACATTTAGAAATTGTGGATTTTAAACCTCACAGTCTTAAGGCAATAGGCTGGGGAAGAACAGATGTTTCCCTTCTCTCAAGCAATAATTTGTACCTGCATGTTGTGGAGACAGTGGAAATAGTGTATTAGTCATTCTCAAAAACTGTTTGGTACAAGCAGAAAAAAAAGTATTTCACAGTATTTTACTGTCTAGATCACTGCAAATGTTTATCCATTTTTAGAACTCAATTTTTAGTGATTATTAAGAACTCCTGCCTTGATGCATTTCCTCTGTGGTTGTGTTCAGAGTGTGGGCTGGCTGATGTTGGACAGGGGCAGGGAAGGCAGCAGAGTTACAGCATTTGGAAATAAAAAGAGCCCGTGAAATCATCCATTCCTCCATCTGCCTGTACATACATAACATTGTGATGTTCACTTCTGAAAGGTTGCTGGATGGATTTTTCAACCACTTTCAATAAGAGATAACTCCACTCTCTTAAAAACACAGTGCTGTGAAGAGTTTCTGTATATTCCACCTGGACAGTCTTGTTTAGAAGAGAAGAAATTCATCCTCCATCCACTGGGTAATTTCAGTGCACAGTGGCCAGGAACCAGATCTGATTGCCTGAGTTCTTGCCCTGAGAGAGGCTCTGGAGAAGCCCTCTGAGAGCCCTCAGGGGTGGGAAGACTCATCAGAGAATGATGAACATGCTCCATTTTCTGTTATTTAATGGGCTGAAGATTCCTGATTTCATCCCAGTTCACAGCATTTGAGTGGTGATTTGGGAAAGGTTGAAAACTGCTGGATTTTGCTACTGTGGGTTTCCTTTAACTGTGTCAGCACATTTCCTTGGAGCCAAGACTCTGGGCTGTGTGGATGGATAGTGGAGAACGTTTTGTTTATATTTAGACTTGTTCCAGCCATGAAATTAGTAGAATAAATAAAGATAGAAGCACAAAGATTAGAGAGGTTTTAATTTGGTACAGGCACCATTAATGGTTTATTTACTTTGTGTTCTTGGAACTTGAGCTGTCTCTTGATAACTAAAAATGCTCCAGAACAGCTGCAGGGATCCACAGGGAGAGGAAGACAGAGCCAAAAGCAGCAGAAGCCAGGTAGCCTGGGACAGGTATTGCAGTCAAGGGCAGCAGGCCAAGTTGTTTTGGGGTGATGTGGATGGATATTTGCACATCCCACGGAAAGGAGGTCAGCTATGAGTAGCATCAGGAGGGTCTCTGATGTTGTTTTGTGGCTTATTAGCAGAGTAAAATCAAATCAAATAATGGCATAGAGTTGCTAACAACATTATCCTCTGGAAAATGTGTTAGAAAGCACTTCCTGAGCCATGACAGGGGTTAAGAGAGAGTGAATTCAGCATGAGCTCTAAATGTGTACATGATTTCTGTGTCCTTCCCTGAGAATGAGGAATGTTTGCAGGAGTCCAGGTGGGTCAAACTGGGGGGGGCTTCCAGGAATTCCTTTCTGAACTGAGGATTTCTGCCCTTACTACTCTGGGGGGGAAGACCCAGCATCCCTTCCACTGGAGGCAGAGTGTTCACAGCACCCTAGAATATGCCAGTGAACCATCTGAAATTCATTTCACAGGTTCTCACACCTGTGCTGTGCATCTTTCCTAAGCAAGGCTGCTGACCTGAATAAAGCATTTTACTCATGTTAATTTTATTAGTGTATTACTAAAGCTTTGCCTTTTTCTAAGGCAAAATTGGTTTACCAGGTTGGTCAGTGGCTGCTGGTGCCTGCAGCAGATCCAAGCACTGGCTCCCAGCTGCTGTGCTGCTGTCTGATGCCAAAGCACCTTCATCCTGAGAGGCAAGGAGAGGAGGCTTTCCCTACCTGTGCCACTGGATCACTCCTTCACCTCTGCTCATTTCCATGGCTCAGTTATCTCCCACATTCAAAGGGAAATATTTCCCCAAATAATTCAAAGGATGAAGAGCTGGTCCAAGTTTGTGAAGTACTTTGGCTGGAAAAACCCTGCAGAAGAGTTGATGCACAACACAAATAGTTTTTAGAATTGTACTACTTAAAGTCAAATGACTTCTGAATTTTTTCCTGTGTTTATTTCTGTATTTACTGCACATATTCATCAAGCTGTATTTTGAAAGTCTGATGTAATAACATTCATCATTGTGAGATGTGATATTTTCCTGGTGCTTCATTTTATTATCCTTTGCAAACACTAGAAAGAAATTCCAGCTCAGTTCTGGCTTTAGAACAAGTTTTGCTTTTGTTTTCAGACAAACTAACATTTTCCTCCATTTAATGTTCTCTTTTCCCAGCCTTAAGAAGGAATCAGCAAATGTTAATTGCTGAGGCTCTTTTCCATGCATAAGGAATTCCAGGAAGTTTTCCTGTGAGACCTTTGGGTGGTGCTAGTTCTGGTATTTTTCTTTCAAAAATGAAAATATTTTCTGCCTTGATATGTAAATGATGTGTGAGTGCAGCTTTGAGTGCTCATGGAAACACACTGCCAGGTAGGAACAGAGCTCTGGAACTCAGCTCCAGGCCCTGGAGAACTGCAGTCATGTGGAATAGCTGTGATGCTTCCATTCATTTGTCTAAGAGTCATTGAGTCAATTTTACCCCTGATTTACAGCTTGACCAAGGAGACTGTGGAGAAACTGCATGGAAAGTTTAACTCTGGTGAGTGCTTGGGAAATAACTGGAGTTTATACTGGGACCTTGCAGTTCTCTGGCTTTTGGATTTGCAATTCATGGGAAGACTTGTCCAATAATTGGTGAGCACCTTGGCCTTTTTCCAGAACAGTCCCAACAAAGGAATTCCTTTCTCTCCAGTGCTTGACAGCTGTCTGACAGGTAATGTTCTCTCCACTCTTCTTGCCTCTCCCAGAACAACCCCAGGCTGGTGATTCAGCAGTGTAAGATGGGAAGTTTCTTTAGAGCTCCTTGCAGGTTCCAGTGAACACCCAGCTCCCTGCCAAGGGCACAGTTTGCTGCTGGTACTTCTCCAGTCACTTCAGAGCTGGCTTTTGATTGATTACTGCTTGCAGTCCAGAAAAAGGAGAGATTGCCAAACAGAGCTAGTTAACTTAAAAGCACAAGTTGATGAATCAATGCTACACATAATAACTCTTTCTTAATGATCCAAGTATCTTAAAAGCTCAAATTCCCTTTCATCATAGAACTTCTCTACCAACACTTTCCCAAGCCAGTGACTGAACTCCCTCCATGGAAAGCAGTACAGCTGACATGATCAGTCCCTGGGGAACACACCACCACAATTAATCAGCCACAGATCCATCATTCCAAAGGTTCCAGAAATAGGTTATTAATTAATTTGTTCTGTACTTTGCCTGAGATTACCCTAGATGATTCTGGCCATGTTTCCAGCCTCCAGTTTTTCCAAGCTGGCAAAAATCTTGGAGATAGATGGGTGTTGTTCTCCTGTTGCTGCTGAGACATCAGCTCCTCTTTCACTCCAGCACTGAGATGGTTTTGATGCCAGCACTGTTTCTTGCTGTGCAGCAGAGAGAATATTCATTCTTGTAGATTCTCTTTATATTATAAAGGCCATAATATCTCAAGGATGGAGCCTCCACAGCCTCTCGTGTCAAGTTGTTCCAGTGTTTGATCATCTGTAGAGTAAAAAAAGCTTTTACTTAGCTATAAATGTACATCAGATGTAAGCTCACACCTTCTCTTCATGTCCAGTCATGGAGGACAAGAAGGAGACAAATGAGCAGCACTTCTCCCTGTGCTGTGAACCAGGCTCCAGGCAGCTGCTCTCTCATTTTGCTTATTCACCTGCCATTGGCACTAGCACTAGAGACAAGATGTCAGCAGACATTTCACCAGACATCTCGAGGCAGGAAAGAAGTACTGAACTCCTCAAGTCTTTGAATTAAGAAATATAGAGGCAGTTAAAAAACACCAACAACCCAAAGACAAGATGTATGGGCTTGCAGACTTGCCACAGCACTGTGACCATTTAAACAGCATTTATTTATTACCAGCATCTTGGAAAGAAAGACAAATGTGTAAGCCAGAGGATGATTAAAGGGTGAGCTGGGGAAATTTAGACTCCTTCAGAATACATTTGAGTAATGAACAGCATTTATCATGTCTGTTTAAAGGCAAGTTAATAAGGACAAAGGGTAAATCTTCACCAACAATTAACTATGGGTTCTGGGTTGTATTTGTGCCTGTGTCACCCAGCTCTCTAATGTAAGCTCTCTACACTTGCTTGCCAGAACAAGTACTTTCCCAGCCCATGATTTCTGCTCAGGCAGGAGGTAGATCCACATTCAGCTGCTGTCCACAGCTGCAGACTGTCAATACACACTGTGCTGGCAAACACAGAGAGTTCTTCCCAAGAAAAACTTACTCCAGGCTGAATTCACTACTCTGATACCTTCTTATCTTCTGCCAGCATCAGTTCTCTCCCAAATTCCAGCATCTACCGCCCTCTGCCCACCTGGGGTTTAGCTGTTTGTACATCCCTGTGGTGCATTCAACCCTTCTTTACCTCCAAGTCCAGACTGGGTTTGCAGATCCAGACTGGTTCCTTCCTTTCAGCACCACTGGGAGGTTTCCCTGTGCTGCCTGAGGGGCCAGGGCTGGGACAGCATGTGGAGGAGTGCAGCACATCTCTTGCTTCTGGTCCCAGAGCCCCAGCCCCTCCTCGTTTGCAATGAGTGCTGGGCATGGTCTGGTTGAACAGAGCCTCCAATGTCACTCCTGAAAAGCAAGAGACACAAACTGGAGGTGTGATGATGCACAGGATACCTCCTCACTGTGCAGGATCAGGACTCCACCTCAGTCCACTTCAATTTCCTCGCTAACTTCTTCCCTGAGAGGAAACAGTTCACAATGCTGTGTCATTTTGCACAGAGAAACCCGTGTCACTGTGCACAACCTGCCCGATGTTGTCGAGGTCTGTGGCAATAATACTCTCTCACACATAATTATTTTTGTCATGAGATCTCAAAGATAACTGAGATTAGTTACCAGGGCTGGGTATGTTCAGCCATTAAGAGTGATACCTTTACCTACACCTGAGTGGGTTTTGGTAAGTGCTCTCACTCACCACAGAAGTTAGGAGTTGTCAAGGCCAAAAATAAATTATGTTGATGTGCAAACTCCTCTGCAGGGAAGTTGCAGCTCACCATGTAACATGCAAACAATAAAATGGTTTCAGTAGTCTGCTGCCTGGCACCAGGTGAAGCCTCAAAGCCACCTGTACACAGTACCAGCCACTGTCAGCTCGGGGGGAACACCACTCCTGTCTCTACACTGCTTCACAACCTCTTTTATGCCTCAGTGTTGGTCAAGCTCGTGAACAAAGTCCTTCAGATCCCATTTTAAAATCTGTGTGTAATCCCTGAGCTGTGTCAGCCGTCACCAGGCAGTGGAGCTGCTGCAGAGCAGCCTGGAGGAGGTGTTTGTTGGAGAGGGTCAGAGCCACAGAATTTGTAATTGGACTCCTCCAGAGTTCAAGTCAAGTTCCTCCTTGGTCCTCAGTATGGATGAGGCTTTGCAGATCCCAATAGTTCAGAGGTGTCTGAGCTCAGTTTCCATTTGAGGCTCTGTGAATGATGTCCCATGCAATCTCCTCAGCGGGATTTGCTGCATGTGCTCAGGCAGGAGAAAATATTTCCCTGCCTGAGTTTCTGGATTTGTTTCTACTGTTCAGACTTTTATCTACTTCTCCGGCCATAAGTTTTCCTTTCTCTCCCTCTTTTCCTTTGACTTGCACTATTACCTCCTGAATTTACAGCCTGTTTATGTTGGTCATCAGCCTCAGAACCTGTCCAGGGCTCCCATCCTCTAAGCACTTGGATGAATCACTCTTCTTTGCAAGATGATATCAGTTGTCAGTGTTCCAAAATAGCAACCAAATTGTAAAGTTTTACTCACCCTGTTGAGTTTAGTGGCCATTTTGCAGTGACTGAAACCCAGACAAATTACAGCATTTACATATTTATTTATTTATTTGTCTTAATTCCTGACCTTGGGATGGACATTTTCTGCTGTTTCTTTCAGAAGTTTAAGTGGGAATCCAGTACCAAATTAGAAACTGGATTCCATGCACATCATTTTCCTGACCACACTGGTATTTTCCATTTAAGCCACAAACCCTGTCTGAGCAGAAAGGGCTTCTGTTTTCCTCTGTAATTGCATGTACCTCACAGGACCCTGGGGAACCGTGTTCTGACTCCTGACAGGAGAGCATGCAGTACATGACCCTGGTACCTTGCTTTTATGGTCAGCATTTTAATTCCAGTGCTGGGTCCAGCATCTGAGGATCAAAAACCTGAGGGTTTTGTCTTCAGAGCATCTGTGTGATACAGAAGTAACGATGCTGCACTGGTGGAGGGAGTAGAAGGCCTGTTTGATCCACACTGTATTGTTGGTTTGTCACATGTGGTTTCTAGAAGAATTCATGAGTGTGTCACCAGCTCTGAGATTAGCAAAGCTGCTGGACAGCAGAGAGTTTTAGAAATGCTCCAGAGTCAAGAGGATTTTGCAACATACAACGTTTGCAAAGAAACACGGTCTTAAAGATGCATTAACTTAATTTCTTCAGCAAAAAGATAACAGAAGAAGAAGAAGAAGAAAAAATCCATAATCACATTTTTGTGTGGCATGAGAGACAGGACAGGAGTTCTCACAGGGTTCTCTGGTGGGGTCAGCTGGGACCACCTCAGTTACACTTCTCTTCCCTTGATGTAGGTAGGAGAAACCATGTGTCTGGAGAAGAATGAACATGCAAATATCTGATAAACTTTTCTGCCTAGTCCTGGCACTCACTCCTGTCAGCTCCTGCCAAAGTGTGAAAAGACCTGCTCAGTTCTTCACTCTTTTATTTCCAGTTTCTGCTGGGGGTATCTCAGAACATTTCCTGCCAATCCCATTTTCATTCCCAACTACCATGAGTTCCACAGCTGATTGAATGGCAGTTACAGTTGATGTAAGATTATATTTACTATATTAAATAGAGACCGTATTTAACAGCAGGACATTTCTGCACAGGGGTTCTACTTTCCAAGGTCCTGGCTTAGAGAAATAAATTCGTCTCAGGTCTGTGTGCAGCCACTTGGCTGGATTATGGAGAAGGCTCATGTGCCTGAGTCTATCATCACTGGCAGAACTCACATTGTGAGGAGCTGCTGCTGTACAAAACCTGAGCTCCATGAAGCTGAAATCCCACTTCTTTTGAGTTCCTGAAGGAATATCACCTTTTCAAGGGAAATTCAGACCCCACAATAAATTAACATATAGGTAGGGCTAGGGTTAACACACACATGTGGCACACCAGGCTCTGTGATGTGTGAAGCATGTTTACAACACTTGTGCTGCTTTGCTCCTGCTTCCATTGGCTGCTGGGATTTAGGAAGGGTGTAAAGGCTGGGAGCCCTGCTCTGGAGAGAGCCTGTCAGGAAATGCTCCCTTGGGCAGCAGTGAGGCAGCCCCTGCACTCACACTCATCTCCTTCTCTTGTTTATTCCCACAAAAATGTCTCCCTTGTTCCTCCGCTCCCCGTTCCTGCCTCGTGGCCTTGCGGTGACCGCGCTGCCTTGACAGAAATCTCTGGCTGGAATTGTGTGCTTTGCCAAGGTTGTCTTTATTTAGACAAGGTTTCTGCTTTCTGAGTTCTCTTGTGGGAATGGAGGGATCGTAAAACAACTGCTGCACCCCACATGGGGTGTTCGGGGGAAAGGATCTTTGATATTTGTGCCTTGTTTAGCGTCTTCTCAAAGCTTTTTACAGGGAAAAAATGAAATTCTGAATAATTCATCAGTGTAGCAGACAAGAAGGATTTTTCTGCTTTGAATTTAAGCCTGTCAACCACCAGGGACAATCCCTGCTAGCAAGATAGGCAGTGACCATCTTAGAAATCCCAAGTCACTTCTTCCCTGAGCAGTTGCAAAGAAACCCCTGTGGCTAGGGTTTCTCCTCCCTTCACCATGCACCAGAACACAGGAGGTGGAGAGGCACTGAGCAGAGTGTTAGTGCTCGAGGAGAGCCTCACCCAGGTCAGCCCCCCCAGGCACTGTACCTGCAGACAGCATTTATCCAGAAGAGCTGGCACCCAAGCACAGCAAAGGTCATGAACTGGAGATTAGAGACAAACAGAAAGCAGATTTTCCCAGGCCAGTGAGAAAGCCTGGAACAGAGCTCTGGCTTCTGTCAAACTAACATTTTCTAGATTTATATTATTCAGGCATATATTGACCACTTGGGTTTAATATAAGCAAATTCTGTACATATTAGTAAGATTTTCATGCTGGGTGTCAAACCAGCTGAGATATGAACCAAAGCATAACAGATATGAACCATAGCAGAACACATATTTATTTTAATATTTTAATTTTCTATTCTGGAAATATAGATTTATATTAATCAGGCATAATATATTGACTTGGGTTTAATATAAGCAAATTCTGTACATATTGGTAACATTTTCGTGCTGGGTGTCAAGCCAGCTCAGATATGAACCAAAATGTGCATAACAGAATATGTATTTATTTTAACTGGAAATGGAATTTAAAATTGTGATCCTGCGTGGGCTGTGCAAGCTGATGAGGCAGGGCAGGAGAAGAGTCTGAGCACAGGTATTGAGTTCATTTCCCCATGCAGAGGGATTTGGATAAATATTTCATCAGAAAGGTCTTGACAAATATGGATGTTTAAAAATACCAGTTATTGTAAAAGAGGTCAACATCTACTTAAAGTAGATTTCATGGGCTTTCAACCAGATAAAATCAGGCATTGCTCTTGTTTGGGTGCTGTGACAGTCCTCTGTGGTTCACCAAATCTTTCCCTTTCAGGGAGGTGGGAAATGGCAGCCTCAGAGAGAAGAGATGGATTTGGTCAGAAAAGGATTTAAATCAGCCAACTGATGTTGCTGATGATGCTGCCTATTTCAGATTTTTATGTGCTCAAGAGCGATACTTTGCAGTAGACAAGTAATTCCTAACTCTGGAGCAGGATCTGAGTAATGAGGTAGAATTGCTGCATCACCACTTCCAGCCTCCCTGCTGAAATGTCTACGCCCTCACACCTTGCCCTAGGTGGAATTTGTAAATACCCCCGGCAGAATCAGCCTTCCTGACGTGCTGGTGTGATTGATGAGACACAAATCCATCCCAGGCAATCCATAAACATGAGCACACACATCACTGAGGGACAAAGTTACAGTTGTACAATCACAGCACACCACGGAGCTGGGACTGCCCTGAAATAGACAATTTTCTCAGCTGCATGCAAAAGCCAAAGTACAAGAGCTGTTTTTACCATTAGCTTTGCTGTGACTTAGTGGTTGGACTGATTATGCTCATGATTTTTGCTTTTAAATGCTCCTAAATTGAGGCATGTGACATGCTGCGTGGTTATTTACTGAGGGCTGACTACACTTTGGGATATGACTCAGTGTCTCCTTATCTCTTATTCTGCTTCAGAACTGACCCCACTCAGTGTGAACCTGTTTGAAATCTTGAAATATTTGAATTCTAAACAACTGGAACACTTCACATTTATATTTTATCCTATAGCATAGACTCAGCTGTAAGCTCTGCTGAAAGATTAAGTTAGCATCAGCATCCTGATTCATCCCTGTGGATGTGGCACCTGAGGACAGGATTTACGGGAGAACATGGTGGTGATGCTGGCTTGATGGTTGGGCTTTGTGATCTTAAAGACCCTTTCCAGACTGAACAATTCCATGATTTTGTGGT